TGATGGTGATGTCAAAAGAGGTTGTATTTTTTAAAAATGATTTTTTTCCTTATAGAAGTGATAATTTATATATACTTTATTTCTGGGAAGTCTGTGAAAGCTACTTCTGACAATATGCTCCAATAGTTGCAGAACAGATGTATTAGGTATTTTTTCCAATAAATACTCTTGAAGTGACAATATTGATTGAATTTGCAGAAAATTACTGGCACATTTAATTACTAATCGAGCTGGGTTTTTGTTAGTCATAACTAAAGCGGAACAGAAATTTTGTGTGTTTAGTAATACGTTCTGCTTGACATAATAGCACTATTTTACACCATTTTTAAATTAAACAATCCATTGTAGATTGTGCAGTAATGGTGAAGTAAACTCCATCCCCAGGTGTGCCTTGTGAAGGGAATCTGGTCCCTTTTCTTCCTCGTAAGCCACGCAAACCCCGTTGCTCTCTTCTGCATTCTTCCCTGCATTCCCTATGAGGACTGGGTCAGCCTTGATCTTCAGCTGAACCCCCTCTCCTTTGTTCTACCTCTCCCCTGCTCTGGCCAGCCTGATCTTGCCCTTCCCCAGTTTCCTCCACAGCCAACTGAGCCACTTTTCAGCTCTCTTATCAGCTGTTTGTCTTCCATGTTAGAGTCAGACTCTGACCACATGACAGGAAAGTATCTGAAAAGCATCTATCTGCTCATTGGTTCCCTACCTCTTCTGGTCCCCAAGTAGAAAATGTGATCCCTCTCAGGCCAAGGAAAGGGAGTGCATTTTATTCTAGTTGCTTAATTTTTAGTTTTGATTTCTAACAGCTTTGAACTTAACTGATTTTTCCCCAGTGTGAAATGTTGATGAAGGACGTTGTCTTGCAAGATACTGGCCCTGTTCTCTCATCCTTATTCTGGTCAGTACAGGGTAGCCTCCTGTCTTGGTGTTACTTGCAAATTAAAGGCAGTGATGCAGCATCTAAAAGTCTTGCCAAAGAAATCCTTACAAAATGTGAGTAATGTATATCAGGTAATAATCATATGTATTACCAATCCTTCCCTAAAGCAATGTATGGTCAGTCTATTTGAAAATGAAGAAAGATGTAATCCGATATAGTTAGTGGGAACCCAGTAACAGGATTTTGTTGCTGATATTTCCTTTAACTGCTGCCTTGTACTCTTTTTTTTTTGTCCAGATGTGCAACAGTTCCTGTCAAATGTTAAGACAATTTTAGAATCTCTCCTATCTCAATACAGTGTGAAAATCACTGTGGAAAAATTAAGCAACTCTGTTTTTGCCATGGTAGTCCGTCAGCTGGTGAGTGCTACAGCAGTTGCCTATTTTCAGTTTGGTGCCTCTTTTTGTAAGTGTTAACATCAGATGCGTTGTGTGTTCCCTAGATGATCTTTCTGCAGGATTTCTGCATTTTAGACATCCCCCATGGGAGCATCCTGCAGGATGTTGGCACATTGACAAAATTATTGAATGATCTGTCTGCAGAGTCTGAAAATTGTCCAAATAAGGTAACCTGAGAGAGAAAAAATATAAATGCTTAACAATATTTCATTTTTTGATTAAATGCTGGGATTGTAATACTAACACGGTGGATAAGGAGTCATAGTGAAGCTCTTAAGTAGATTGCAGGCTCCTGGGTACTTAGGAAGTTCTTATCTTCAGTTGGAACACATTCTTCTGGTATCTCAGCTTTTTGGTTACCTGTTCCATTCCAGGATCTGTTGCAAAATGATGATAGGCTGTTGAAAGATTTTAGGACTAGGAAAATATGTGGAGTACATTCCTGGGAGTGGCTCACATGTTAAATAAGGAATGACGTAGTTTCTAGTTTATTCTGAATCATAGAATCTCCTTGGGCCAGTCAGTTTTTTTCCAGTTCAACCTACCTCATGCTAATATTGTATTGAGGAAAAATAGGAAGAGCGAGTACTTTGTAAACTTTACCAAGCTCTGAATGAAAAGATGTATTCAAAAATAAGTATGTATTGTAACTGGAGTAGCACTGAGACCTCTGTTTTTATTCAGTCATTAAATGAATCTTAGCTCTGTACTGCTCTATTTTTACAACTATGCTACTTGTGACTGATATTTCTTTGTCCTGCTTAAAGCATGTGTCAAAATCTGTAAAGCATTAGAGAGGCTTCACTTGAATCACAGATTTCTAGGCTCTGACATATGAAGATCTGTTGTTAATCAGTTTAGGAAAATCCAATTTTGAAAGTCAGATGCAGCTTTTAAATTAGAGAAACAGATCCCTGAGTGAGCAAGCCTATAGCTATCAGACAAGATCTAAAGTGAGGGTCTGGATTAATTTTTCATGTGCCCACTGCATAAGTGGTCACAATTGTTTTCTAGATAAAAGCTTCAGAGAGTTAACTAATATCTTCTCCTCCTCTGTGGTTTTGTTTGTGTCAGATGGGTATAGAAAGCTGGCAGCAGGAGCAGCCAGTGGTACTGCGAACATGGACAGCAGAATCTCCCCATAACTATGATAACAACTGCCATGATGTTACCGTCTTCCTGTGCCCAGGAGCAACTTCCTTCGAAGTTGAGTTTGACGAAAGATGTGAAACAGAGCGAAGGCAAGTTGATTAATCCTGTATTAATGTTTTTTGGTTAACATTAGCTGCATTCTTAAAGCTACTGAAAAAAAGAGGTAGTTCATAGATTGTTTAGGTGAGACCAGTTCTAGGACTCTGCTTCCTCAAGAGTTAGAAATTTTAAATCTAGAACCAAATGTAAGAAGACAAATGGATGGTTTTGACCGATAACATTTGTCTCACATGGTATAACTTCCCCCATCAAGTCCTTTACTGTTTGCCACCCAAGGAAATATATTGTGGTAGTCAGTTTCTTGTAGGGATTGCAGTTTATTGCATTCAGGTGGTCACTATGTGGCACCTTCAATTTAATCTCGTTAAAAACTATGAGGTATCGACTAGGGTGCTTGTAGAGGGAAGAGGGAATGGCCTTGAAGAACAGGAGGAGGAGCTGCTAACAGGCAATGTCTATAGAGGTTCTCAATCATCCAAGTCACGGTTGTCCCAAAGGTGCTTTTTTCAAAAGGCAACTGGGCTTTCTTGGTTTTTTTCCTTGAAAACATTTCTCCTCCAAGAAGTGAAATGTTTTCAAGAGGAAAAACCCAAGAAAGTCCAGTTGCTTCTGAAAAGCATCTTTGGGACTGCCAAGGCAGTGGTCAAACAAAAAGGGCCCTGAGCCCAGGCCAAGAATAAAACATGAGGAAACATCTCAGATACGTGTCCTCTGTATCTCCAAGATCACTTCCTAATTTTTTGGGGGTGGGGGAACAGAACTCACTTGGCAACTTTTCAACAACATTCTTGGGTAGAGTGGGCTTTCTGCTCTCCTGCTAGTGGACATATCAACCTATTCTCCATATCAACTTTCTGTTTTCCTTCAGCATCATAATGAGCCTCTTCAGAAGCATTGGTGGCCAATAACCGTAATTTAAAAAATGTCTTGTGGCTCAGTTGCGTGTCTTGTTTTCCATATTAATCCCAGGGTGCCAAAATCAGCCCATTTACGACTTGTTTTTTTAATCTGTTCAAAAAAAATGTAGGTATGATTATCTGGAATTTACTGATGCCAAAGGTGCCAAAACTCGCTATGATACCAAAGTTGGCACAGATAAGTGGCCCAAGGTGAGTAATCTCCAGATTCTAAGCGAGAAATTCATATTGATGTCATCCCTATCCCTGATATCTGATCTTAACTTCTGACCTGATAGCACCTACAAAAATCTGACTGTTTTATTGTTCTGTAGAAAGTGACCTTCAAAACTGGTCCTCGGTTGCAGTTTCTCTTTCACTCTGACAGCAGTAATAATGAGTGGGGGTACAAGTTCTCTGTCACAGCCTCTGGATTGCCCGATGTTGACATTTCTTGGGTCCTGGATTTGCATCTTCTTGTGGCCAAGTTAATGGGGCGCCTCGCCTCACATAGTATGATGTTAAAATCTTCACAGGGTGAGTAATTTATTAGTTTACATTTCTTCATTTTCAAACTCTTGATACTTTTACAGATGGGAGATGGATGTGATATGAGACCTCTGAAAACTATTGCTGACTTGCCATTTTTATTTTCAAGGTTTATTTTTAAAATGCCTATACATTTAGGAGACAGTTCAAGAAAAGCTAAGCAATGTGCTTTGAAACAAATATTCAACATCAGAGCTGAATTTGTCATTTGTCTAAATTTGTTTAGAACTTCTATGTTTCCATATCCCATTCACTCATTTATCTTCAAAGGATTATCTTGTCTGAAGTGATGTGCATCTCTCTCCGTCTCCCCCTCCCCCCCGCCTCCTTGCTGGGGGGGGGGGATATCACCCTGACAAAAAAGGAACATATAATAATTTTGATAGAAAGTGGATTTGAATAGGGATATCTATCCTCTGGTGCTTTACTTTAGCCACTATAGTTTCCCAAAAAAATATTGGTCTGGCATGAAATCCAAGATCCAATAAAAAGAGCACCATCACCTATGGCAACACTGAATGCATATATTGAGAATCTCAGAAGGAATGGAGCCAGGGTGCAAAGAGTGCCAATTTCTAACATTTTATTTGTATTGGCTGGCTTTTATAGTGAATTTACTTTTCGTTTTCTACTTTGTAGAGATCTTTGTAAATATAGATTACAAACTATAATTGTAAAATATATTAAATTTGATAAAGCCTCTGCTCTTCTAACTTAGCATTTATTCTCTTCAGGAGTAGGAAGTGAAATAGAATTGCCTCCTACTGAAGCAACAGCTGTTCTTAACTCTCCTTTATGGAAACCTGTCTTCAGGCATCGGATGCGTTCTGAACAAACACCAGTAGACAGAAAACAAAGCCAAACTCAACAAGAAAGTAAAAAGGTACTTAAGGTTGGTGGCTTACACTTAGTAACACCAATTCAGAGAGCCTTTTAATCATTCCCCCCCTCTTCTATTCTGACAGCTGTTATATAATTCAGGGACTGGAATGCTATGCCACAATTTACAATATTTTGTATCAGAAACAAGTGATCAAGACTAAAGATGGGATCACATAGATTTTGGATTAAAAGCATGTTTAACCTCTGTCTGGGAGCAGCTGTAATTAGGTTAGATTTCATTCATGGCAGTGAGAGGCATCTTCTCTTTTTTCTCTACCTTAGTTTTAAAATTTCTTCTTAGTTGATGTTCAAGTGTCATGCAATCTTTTTTTTCCTGGATACTCTTTTATTTCCTTGCCTGGAATACTTAGGCTAATACAGTAGAGGGCTCAACTATAAATCAAACCAATGATTTATTCATACAATATCTACTTTTAAAAAAGAATTAAAATGATAGGATTTTTTATAAGAAATTGCACGCCCACAACACAAAGAGTGCTGAGATCATACTGATTTATCTCTCAGGGTTTTATTTCCTATAATAAATTGTGGCATTGTTACTAATACTTGAATAACCTAGTTGAAATATTGGCTAGTTTGCTCATTTTCCCTTCTCATGGTAAAGCCAATTGTGTTAATGTTGAGGTTGCAATTGGATCGTATAATGCTTACAGAATTAAACTTTAGAGACTTTGAATTGGGTTGAAGTAGAAGTTAATGCTGTTCTGATGTTATTTTTTAGGCAGTCAACTCAGATGCCAACTGCTGCCATGATTTTCTCCTCGAGTTCTCAAAGTCAGACCCTACCCAGGAGTTCTGTGGGCCAAATTCTGAACTTTTCAAAGGACTCTTACAGGCATGTAATAAACAGGCCCCAAAGACAGATATAATTGCTGGTTCCACTATCGATCAAGCTGTCCAGTCTACATTTGCTGCTTTGGTGTATCTGTCTCCAGATTTGTATGGGAAGCTGCAAAAATATGGTAACTTCTACATCAGTGAATATATACTCATAACAAAGACTGTTGCTCTTATTACATAGCAGCTTTCTGTGTCATGATGTCCACATGTGTTGAACGACACTGAACATTCAGAGGTTGTGGCAGCTGGAGGATTACGGGAACTGTAGCCTAGCAAATTAACAAGTCATTAGGATGAGAAAGTTGTTATTTAAAATTCACCAGCAAAGTACAGCTTGCACATCATGCTGGTCCTTGATGTAATCAGTTGAAAGGGGAAGACATAGATTCTTGAAAGTACTGTTAAGTCATAGACCAAGATGGTTGGGAATTCTGAAAGTGGTAGAAAGGCCAGTTCACTATTTTCTCCTCAGCAAAGCTTTGCCACCTCTTTAAGAAAGATCCAGAAAGATTTTGCACCTTGTATGAAGGATGTGTCTTGTTCTTTGGCTGATTTAGGCTAAAAGGACCTCTCTTCTTATCTCCACCTATTTGTCCTTGCAGTGAATAGTGGTGGCAAAACTCCTTTAAGTGAAGAATTTGCACAAGTATATTTGCTGGCAGATGGTATCAGAATATGGATGGTAAGATGTCTGCTAAATGCTATCATATGTTCCTCATTTGCTAACTGGGTCACAGTTGATCTGTTTTTGCAGCTGTTCAGAATTGGTCAGATGTTGTTTAAATGCTTGAGTATCTCTATTTAATGCTATGCTTGAGCATTGATCAACTTTTCTCTTATGGGGCAATTCTGCAAAACTCATTTTTCATGGAATTGATCAACATCTGTGCAGATTGTACCCCTAAATAGGTGAGGACTCCCAAATAACCTTTCATTTAAAAATAGCATGAAATCTTGCTACTTGACATCAGAAGTTCCCAACCCTCAGTCTGTAGTCTTCTACCAGACCGCCACCCATTGGGAACTGGGCTCTGCAAGCAACAGGCAAGCACATGAGTGCATGATGCTCTATTTATGGAAGTGGCGGGCACACACAAAATCACCCCCTCTCCCCCCTGCTGCCGCTTCCATTCCACGGAGCCAGAAAGGTTGAGGACCACTGCTGCTCTACATGTCAGGGAGCATGTTTAGCGGGTGCTATCCCTCTGCACCCCCAGGTATACTAACTTTCTAGAAGAAGAAGAAATCCACTTAAATGTTCCTGAGACAAGCATATCTTTCATGTATCAGTTGGTTTTCCTGATGAATTACTGGTATCCTTTCTTGTGCAAGAAATGACATGAAAATTATGTTGTTAACCCACTAAGGGTCATATACTTCCTGATACAATCTGACTTCCAAAGACCAAGTACTTTGCTGAAATCTGAACTGGTCATTTTCAAACTTAGATCTATAAACTGCCCATTCTTATATTTTTCTAGGATTTTTTTTAAAGGTGTGGACTTATAATACAATTCCATTGATCTGTTGATCTCCACTCATTGTTAGAAAATGTGTTTGTGGAGATGTCATCTGAGAAAGGCAAATTTAAAACTCATTATTTTTTAAACTCTCTTTTCTGCAGCTAGAAATGAAGCAGAAGTTCCACATGGGCCAGAGAAGTAATGGGGAGGAACAGCAGGCTGGTGAAATGAGCGAAGTAAACCCAGAGTGTCTTGGTAAGTCTCTTTCTGCACATGCCTCTTTTTGCAATCCTATTAGCTATTAATAATATCTCCATTTTCCAAAGAACTTCTTGAAGAACATTTGTCTTTCTCACAAGAAGTCCAAAAGTGGATTCATTATCAACTTGCCACTTTCTTTTAAAATACAACCAGATTCTGTACTTCGCTCTCTTTTCTATAAACCCATCTCTAAATCTTTAGCTGTCCTTATTAATCAGCAAAACTCCAGTAAAAATTAGCCACAAACATTCACAGGCATTTCTATATATTATAATTGCAGAAATAATAAAACTCACCAAAGAGAAATACTTAGTCTGTATCTGTAGAAATTATCTCTTTAACTGAATAACAAATTATAATCCAAAAATTGCAGTAGGTTCTAGTGCTCCTAAACTGGTGTGCAAACTTGAGGGAAGACCCTGTCTCCCTGTTGCTCACTTTACCAGCTGATTGAGGAAACCTCACTTGACTAGCTTTTCTGTCCCTTTGTAGTCCCAAGGTCTTGTTGCCCACTGAGGCTGGGTTTGAATTACACCATCCAGGCTCACCATCAGTTTCCCATTGCCTGGATTGACAAAACAGTGCACTGATATGCTTAAGGCCAGCCCTGAAATGTGCAGAAGAAGTCACCCAAGGCATTATTCTAATAGCTACTTTAATGTGTGTGAAATTTGTATTGCTTTTGTATAGTCTGCATCATTCATTCATTCATTCCTTTCATTCACGTGGAAATGCTGTATTCCAAAGGTGGGTGTTCTACTTTTCTAAACAAAAATCGCAAGAATGGTCTGAGATTCTGGGGTGCAGAGTGTTGCTTGTGTTATTCTTACAAAACATATATTGCCTTCCATTGTAGCCCAGCAGTGTATCCAGAAAAGTCATCTGTTGCTGAATTTTTTGCCTGTACGGACCAAGACTGAAAGTCTGAACTCTGATCACCTAGAGGACCATGGGCAAGGCCTGAATGGTAAACGTCATAGGACAAGTTCTGTAATAGAAGCAGATTTCCAAGCCTCACATCCGTCACCTGCTTGTGAAGCAACTGGTTTTCCTTTCCCAGAGGGAGGTCAGAACTCTGAACTCAAGAAAAAACAAGGGCCGGATTCCCCACAGAGGGAACTGGCTTCAGCATCCCAGAGCAGTTCTCTGGAAAAAAACTCAGAGCCAGAAGAAACCTTGTCCCCCCCTTCTACCCCGACCCGCAAGCCTCCATTCAGCCGTGGACGGCTAAGACTCCTCTCCTTCCGTTCAATGGAAGACTCTAAACCAGCACCCAGCATAAAGGAGAAATATCCCATCTTGAAAGACATCTTGGATTTCATTAAAGATCGGTCTCTTTCCCATGAAAGGTGAGCCCAATTGTACCCTGGATGCAAATCTGCATAGGGCTGATCTTATTTTCTGCTTTAGAGTTTCAGGAATGGATATGTTTTAACCCTGTAAGTTGTAGTCAAGAAAGAATTGAAAAGATATTATGGCAAGCAAATTATTAAATGTATTTAATAATATTAAATAAATATTATATTTACAAAACGGAGGGAGCAAATGAAAGGAAAGATATTTTCATAGTTATTTCAGTACTCAAACATAGTAAAATAGTCCTTGTTTTAGTAAAGAAAATAGTTGTTTGTTTATAGTTCTAGAGCAGATATCAAGTGGATTACTCTATAGAAGAGTAATGTAGGGAATTAACTTAGAAAGTTCAGCAACAGCCCCAATTAATGTCAGAATAAAGCAAATATGGAGCTTAATCTTCTCTTTGAAATTGCATAAGGCACCAGAAATAGTATTTTCCGTTGATTCCTTCATGTAGTGTTGATCTTTGAAATATGGCAAACAAACTGAAAGCTATATTTCCAACAGTCCAAGTGTGAGAGCATTGTTGTGAAAATGATAGTGGTTCTAACTGGCTCCTCAGGACTTGGGATTTGATTGAATAGTGGAAGGCAACCATTCAGGTATTCCAGGATCCAGAATAAGCAATTTATGCCATTCTATCTATACTACTTTGGAAGAAAGATGTCTGTTTAATCTGAAGTTTACTCCACAACTCCACAAATATAGCTTTTTCCATACCAAGATTCTGTAAATTCTGAGTTATGTTCCATGCATCCAACATCTAATTATGACGGGGGGTGGTATTCTGTCACCACATTTGGATTTATGTCTGTGTGTGTTTTATCCACAGTGTCCTGAAAATCCTTGCTTTGAGGAAAGCTCAAGCCAAAAATATTTTGGAAGTGCTGAAGATGATCCTCCAGTGCCTAAAATCCCTCAGCCAACCTCACTGTTTTGTTCCACCTTGCATAATTTTCCTGCTGGAACTTTTAGCTTGCCAGAAAGACTTCACAAAGTAAGACATGGTGAAAACCATTCCCCTGACATTTGATCAATTACCCCATACATAATTGGACTGGTGTGTTTTGGAATGTCCACTTGTCCATGGAATGTCTACCCCCATATCCCATATATATGTATGGAATGTAGATATCACCCAGTGAAGGGTTTATGATGTAGTTCACCAGCCAGCCTTATTTTGTTTGTTTGTTTCCAGTTATTTTGGACACTTAGAAGGGTGTGGGGCTGAATTACACCGAGAAATACGGGAATCCTTCTACCAGCTGCTTCACTTCTTGGTCAATGCTTTGAAAGGATTCAACAACTACAGTGACAAGTATGAGCGTTATTCATAAAGCATGCTAAATTACTCTTTAATCATTGCTTATCTTGGTAATTCATCTTCTTGGTAGCCATTGGTCCCTCTATGATGGTTTTATGAGTTTATAAACTCTTATTTGCTTATCTTTTACAAATACATATACTTTTCTGAAACTTTTTGAGATACTTATTATTTTTATATGAATTTTTCTTCATCTTTTTTAATGATGTATTTGATCGTTAGCCTCTCAGAGCTATCAGGAATGAATATTACAAAAATATTATAAATAAATAATCACCACGTATTGTTTATAGTGGATGAGAAGAAAGAGATCATTTTCTCTGAGATTTTTTCATTGTTGTATTCAGATATTGCTGTTTTCTCTGGGATTTTTTTTTTGGTTGCTGTAAGACTGTTGATTTACAGGGCCAGGCATGTGGATCTTTTGATTATATTATTCATAGAAACTATTATTCCAATCAATGAGTTATAAAAAAAATCAGCTGAACTGTCTTGGCCTATCAAATTAAACTTTCTCCTAGAAAGAGAGTTCCTAAAAATCCGATGTCCATTTTGGAAACCTGCGTTGCAAGCATAACAGCAGGTCTTAATTAAGTGGAATTTGGTTCCCCCACAATTCAGTTAATATCTAGATCAGTTTCTATACTATATAAAGATGATTTAGTGATATATTTAGTGATTGGATATATATAGTGATATATTTAGCTGAGAATTACACAGACTAAAACAGTTAAGCAGGACTCTGGTATTGTCTTTCTGAAGAATTTTTTTTTAAAGCTATTAAAGTAAAACCATGGCTTCATTTCTGGTACATTTCAGACAGACAAAGCTGCAGTGGTGCATTTTCATGTCGCATTAAATTTGACTAATCAAGCCTTAGGCAGACTGAGTGGCTATGGTCAATACAAGTATGTAAAAATTTGCTGACTTCCATGCAATGGCGTCTTATTTGTTCCTTTGTTGGAATTCAATTTATTGTGAGAAATGTATCAACATGTGGAGTGAGATTCAGGAATTTTTAATGTTAATAGCCATCAGGTAACATTTCATTTTTTATGTACCATTTATATACTGATATAATAAAGTACAGCTGTTCCACTAGTGGAGATGGTGAGCTATAATTACCTTGGCGTTGGAAGAACAAAAGCTATATTCTGCATACAACTAAATGGGAAGAGGCTGAATCAACCAAATCATAAACACTGTCTCATTCGATCAGTGAAAGAGCCCCATTTTTTTTTACATCTGGATAGTTCTAAAAACAGAATGGTTTTCATGCTTTTCACCTGTCAACTTCTGGCTGTTCCTGTGCTTCAAAATGTAGATTCTTCTCATTGATGAATGTGATCTATTGCCGTGTAAAGCCATCTTAGTTGACATTTATTATACAATCTTCCTGGCAATACTGTTAGCTAAATTATATATTATATAAAGAGGATGTCTTGAACATAACAGCACTCAATTTTGATGGATTATTATTATTATTATTTGTTTAGATCATTGCTGCCTGCCTTGTCCTGTGTGCAGACATGCCTCCTTCACTTTTTGGATATGGGCTGGGAAGCAAACGATCTTTCCTTCTTCATTGATATTCAGCTACCACGTCTCCTCCTCACCATGTCACAAGAAAATATAAGTACGCATGACAAGATAATTTGGTAAGTCAGGAAAACATGTAATATTAGAAAGAGAAGTCAGTGAAATAATTTCAAAATATGTTCTGCACATGGACATTTTCCACAACCACTTTAAAGACTCATTAAAATGGAGTAAAACTCTTAAATGACTGTAGAATGTGCTAATATTATAAAAAAAATTCTGATTTCACTATTAGTCACTTTCTGCAGAGGGAATAGAATTATAGCCTTAGGTTTGGTTTGGTTTGGTTTGGTTTAGTTTGGTTTCATTTTGATTTCATTATCTAGAATAATGTAGTCATTGCTTAAAGCTAGATTTAGACTTATCTGCAACTGCATGCAGGTATCAATGTATACCTACACTACAAAGGGGTTGATGGGTATGCATAAGTTGCAGATAGTTGCAGATGAGTTGATATGCACCCTTCCCAAATCTCAACTACACATTGTGCAACAAAGATGTGCATCCTGCATGGTGATTGATTAATAAGGCTATGTTTTCTATGCTTTGCTGTTTGAACCCCCTCCCCCCCCCAACCAGCCAAATGGTTAACATTTTCAAATGTATAAATGCAATAGCTATGCAGCCATCTCCGAACAACAAACATATACATTCCCTCACGTGCAATGACACAGAAATCTAATCCTAGCTTTAGTTGGTTTGGGGCATTAGGCAAAGTTGGTCCTTATTTTTATTGAAAAGGAATAAAGTTTAAAAGGGGAAAGTTATAAAAAAACTGGGATTTTTTTTAAAAAAAGATTCCATAAGTAGGGGGCATACTACTTTCTTTAAACACTATCAAGAAAAAATGATGTCCCAAAGTTACGTACAAGTTTTAATGTAATCTTTTGTTCTCAGCTCATGCAACAAAGAAGAAGAACTTGCTGACTACAAGCAAAACTCAGAGTGGATGGACGAATGCCAGGAAGGAGTTTTTGAAACCTGGTGTGACAAGATAAGCCAAGCAGACCCTGATAAACAGAGAAAGGTCATAAAAGTTGACATTTTTTTTTCAGATAGAGATTTTTAAACAGAGTGACGTACTGTAGCTTACATATGTTAAATGTTTTTGGACAGCTGTAGGCCTGGAAGGGTCTGTTCAGGAATCTCTGAACAGGTAGTCCTCGACTTATGACTGTAATAGCCTGGCAATTAGGGCCGTAAGTTGTGATAGTCATAAAACAAGTCATCACATGACCAATTGTACCATTTTTGTTTTTGTTTTTTGCAGTGGTTGTCAAGTGAACACTGTGATTGTTAAGCAAGTCCATTGTTTTTGCTCTGGGCCAGTGTTTGCTGGAAACCAGAAGTAAATGCCATAAATTGCAGTTTTGTCAGAAATATAAATCATGGTTATGTGATTGCAGGAGGCTGCAAACAGCCATAAATACAGACCTGTTGCCAGGTGCTCAAAGTGCGGTCACATTGCCAGAAGGCAAGATAGCAGTCGGAACTTAGAAACCAGGTTGTAAGTTTTTGGAGGGGGATCTGTTATAGCTTCAGATGGTCGCTAAGTGACCCATCATATGTCGAGGACTACGTATGTGGCTTTGGGAACTCTCTGTATCTAGGTCTCAGTTGAGCTTCAGAGAGATTAGATATGCTATTACACAACTTTTCCAAACCAAACCAGAACATAATATGCATTTCTTCCCTTTGAAATTCAAAGCAACTCGGTCACCGAAATTACTTTCAAGTTTTGGAAGATGCCATCGTTCTTGGATTCCCATTTCCATTTTATTGCTCCTGTGCTTTTCTCCAATGTTCACTAGGTGGGAAGATGACACAACCCCCACTATCCCTGGGCATTGTGTTATTTATTGTTCATCAGTGTTTTATCACTATTTCTTTCTAGATGCACATGTTCATTGCCCGGTACTGTGACCTGTTACATGTGGATATATCATGCGATGGGTGTGATGAGATTGCGCCATGGCATCGTTACCGCTGTTTGCAATGCAATGATATGGATCTGTGTAAAACATGCTTTCTGGGTAAGGTAGATAGATGAAAACTATATCATAAGCTCGATTTCCTGTAATGGAACTGTAGTTTAGCTTTCACTGTTATACGCAGAGTCGGTTTGAAGGGGCATGTGGGATATACGCGCACACATAGACATGCACACACAGACTCACATAAATTCACAAAGTAACTCCACTATTTAATAAAGGGTAATTATTTGTTGAAACCAAATGTCTATGTCCATTAAGTCTAAGTGGGACACATGTGATATCATAGGCACTGGCTTGAAAAAAATGGAAAAAAATTAAATAGAACTATTCAATAATACAATGCAGTCCGATGCCAATTATGACTTAGTTTCATGGCCAATAATTTATGATTCTGTGAAATAGACCTAAAACAATCTGATGGTTTCTCAGGAGTAATTGGAGTAGAATAGAATTTATCAGTTTCTTATGGAATAACATTCATACAGCAAAGCAGAGCAGTTATTTGTGGCGCAGTTTCTTAGCTTCTTCAGTAGGAGGAAAATAGGCAGCAGGGGAGTGCATTTTCTGGCTTCCAGTTACATGACAACTTTGGATGTGTGGCTTTGAGGCTTTAGACCAGTGTTTCCCAACCGATGCAATTTTAAGATGTTTGGACTTCCAAGTCCCAGAATTCCCCCGCCATCGGTGCAGAATGACTTGCAGGACAACAATGTGAATGATGGAATAATGTGTTTTGCATTTGCCTACTAAAAGGTGGAGTGAGACCTGAAGGTCACGAGGCCAGTCATGACATGATTAACATGGAGTATGCTTGCAATCACTGCCAAGGTATTATTGTGGGCCAGCGCATCAACTGCGATGTCTGTGAAGATTTTGACCTTTGCTATGGATGCTACTCTGCAAAGAAGTACTCCGACAGGTACTTGGCACATCAGAGGCTACTGAATGTCGACCTATCACTTGGTCACATTCTCTATGTATTTACACTGTCTTTGTTATATGGAGAAAGATGACGGGGGGAGGGTGAAAGGAACAAAAGGAGGTAATTGAAAATATTTAATTTCTTAGAAAATCACTTTGGCTGTTCCATTTCTACTTTGCTTAACTATCCTTCCCCTGTAAGCAAAGGTTTTCTATATTGATAGTCCTCAACTTATGACCATAATGGAGCTTACCCATCAAGGTTGTAAGTTCTAATGGTCATAAAACATGTTGGTCACATGTGAAACCCAATTTTGTAACCATTTTTGCTGCAGTCTATAAATGTCCGTTTTTTGCAAAACCATCATAAAATGCAATCACATGATCACAGGATGCCACAAACAGCCATAAATGCAGCCTGGTTGCTTCCAGTATATCCTGATCTTATTTGTATAATTTCTGCCCATTTTTACTATAGTCTTCGGCATTGTTCACAGTATTTGGTATACATCAAGAACAGCCACTTTTGACTAAGTAAAAACCTAGTATCTATCAATTTGTTGATTTTCCACTGGGTGGTACAGACTGGGTAGTAGCTGATGTCTTGCTTTGAAGTGGGTCACATGACTGAACTATTTATGTTTCATTCTTCACTATGGCAGACAATAGGCTTCAGATCTCTCTAAACAGAGTGCAGGGAAAAATACCTTGTTTTTATTAATGTTCATATCAAACAGTTTTTATAACAAGGACTCTTTTGTCATTTTAGCCACCTGCCTACCCATAGCATCACTGTGTATCCAATGGTGACCTTTAGGATCAGTGACTGCCATAGGCTCATCCAGCCTTATCTTCACAACTATGCCTGGCTCCTTTTTTCTGCCCTGGCTCTGTACAGCGCTGACTTAACTTGTGGGAAACAAGCAGATGGGGAAGAACTCAGTCCAGAAATCATCACTCATGCTAAAATCCTACAGCAAGAATGTATTCAATTGATTGGAGATTGCCTGATGAAAGTGCAGCATGGCAAAGGTGAGTTGAGATATTATAACAGTCTGAGAAACAGGAGGAAGAAGCACCTCAGCCAGAGCAAAAAGTAAGAGATGAGACATCTCAGCTCACAAAAATAATAGGGGAAAGGTATGGAAAGCATCTCAGAAGGGACCCTCCTTAGTTGCCTGGAAAATAAAAGAAAGCGGGCAGTGGTGTAATTCAAAAATTTTTTACAGCCAGTTTTGTGGCTGTGGCTTGGTGGGCATGGCAGAGGAAGGATACTGCACAATCTCTATTCCCACCCCACTCTGGGGCCAGCCAGAGGTGGCACTTGTCGGTTCTTCGGACTACTCAAAATTTCCGCTACCGGTTCTCCAGAACCTGTCAGAACCTGCTGGATTTCACCCGTGAAAGGGGGGGAATGGTGTCCTTTCACTCTTGCAAGATTCTGCTACTGTAACTTTACAATAAAGGCAGTGTTAGAACTCATGGTTTTCTACCTTGAAGGGGGGACAGACATGGTGGCAATTTGAATCCAAGCTATTTAACATTCCGGCCCTGGCACAGCTTTGGTAGACATAAGAGTCCACAGACATGAAGGATATTTGTCCACCAAGAAATATGTTCGTCACATATCCTCTTCCAGCATTCCAGATCAACCTTATCTGAACTAACTCCCTCCTGAATAGCCTTTGCAGTCTGCAGAGTTGATTCCTTAAGCTGTTTCTGTTAAACTTAATCATATAAAAATAGTAGGAATTAGGAACATATGCTCTCCACACAGGTACTTTCAAATTGTTCCACAGTGGTAGATTAATGAACATGTCACATGCTGAGGTTTCTCTGTGGAACGAAGGGGAACTCATCTTTTCCCTTATGAACGAAGATGTTTTGACTACTCTTGCCATTATTTTGGTACCTATAACTTTTGGATGCTTGTCTTGCTTCAAAAAAAGTTCAGTTGCTGCTATTGATGGTTGACCTTCCAATCTTTGTTACCACCATTTCTAGTGTGAAAATTCTCCTTGCAGTGACTCTGTTTTTTCTAAATTTGTGAAAATTTGCCAAGAAAATTCAGGATGGCCTCACTAGTTTTCCAAATATCATCAGCAATGATATTTAATGCTACTGAGAATCAAGGAGGACGAGGAGGGCCATGTTCCCTCCCACTATCCACATTTTTTGCAGGCCATCCACACGCAATGCTATTCCTGACCCAGGTCCAGGCTTCAGCTCATGCCTGAAAGAGAACCTAGACAACCCAGTTCATCCCAGATCCTCTGAAGTAACTCCAGATGAGGTAGAAGTTGTCCGGGATGGCTAGATAAAGGAATTCCCACTTTGTGGAGGATATATCACTCCCTCTCCCACATTACCATTTCCTATCATCCCTTTCCTGGCAGCTTGAACAAAACAGAACAGAGTAGACATACAAGGAAGAGGAAGGATTCAATAGATATGTGGTGGAACCAATTCCATGATGTACCAGGTCTTTCGGACATTTATTGATTGGGGGTGAATCCTGAATTCAAACTGTTTTTAACCTGTCTTGAACATCTAAACTTTCTTTCTTTGCATCCAGGTCTGAAAAGTCAAACTCTGCTTAGCATGTTGCCAGAAGAACCTTTGTCTGAAAATGGGATGTCCTCCGTTGATTTTTCTACAGATAGCAATGTAGAAAATCACGCCATTGAAGAAATCGTGGAAAATAACAAGATGCCCAAATCTGTCATCCACAGCAATGTAAATATTTTTGAAAACACACATGTATTGAGTAGTTTAAGTTACTTATGAATGCATATCAATGCAGATCCTTGATATTAAAGAGATGTATGCAAACATGGGCGTATGTGTTATGCACTCAACAGAGGGGAGATGGATTCTAAATGATCTTTAGGTTTTTTTAATCTTGTTTTTTTACTCTGATTTTAACCCAAGGCAGAGAGCATGTTTAATATTCTTTCCACCTCTTATTTTCCCTACAAGGGAAAATTGAGGTGAATTGAGCTGAGAAAGAGTGACTGGCCCAAAGTCATGCCTTGGGCAGGACTAGAACACATGGTCTCCTGTTTTGTAGCCTAGTTCCTTAACTACTAGACAGTAAGCAGGTCAAGCTGTTTCCTTCAGAGGAAGGTGAATGAGTTCCAGGATTACCTGCTCTTAGGCGAGATCTCTTTATGACCTCAACTACATCAAATTGAAGAGATCCTAAATATTCCTGGGGCAAAACCTTGAGCCTCTGTGTCTCTCATCTCTCATGCTCTTAGTCAGCTACTGAATAAGCTGAAGTTGACATTCTCCCTTTGGAGATCTAGGAGAGTAGGTGTTCGTTCAAAACAGCCTTCTTTAACTCTGAATGCTCAAGATTTCCTGCCACTGCAGTTCCCCAGTCTGATGACTTTGCTAACTCTGAATTACAGACCCCGTCTATCTGAAAATTTCTAAGTTCAGAAGGCTAGTTCAGGTATTAGGAATGATCCCCTTTATAATGATAGGAGCATTTCTTCAAGAGCATTAGAATTTTACACTGATTTAAGTATTTTATTCTATTGGAGCAGTGCTGTTAAACTTGATTGCAAATAAAATGGCTAAAATTAAAATAGCTTCTTTATTAAGTCAATAACTGCTTAAAAATACAGTTTGAAGTTAATCTGTTATTTTGACTTAGGGAGATGGAAGCAGTATTGAAATTCAGACTTCTATAAACACTAAACAAAAGAGTAAAATGAAGATTGAGAACAAACTTTCCAATGGTCTTCCACCAAATAAAGAAATGCTATCACAGACACTTGCTTTTAATTCAGATTTACTTGCAAAAGAGAACATATCCCCAGGTAAATATTACTTTTTAGCTCCTTTATAAGAAAAAGCAATTGCTGTTCAATTTCCTTTTTCTTGCTTGTTTATGTACATTCTTTGCACCCAACTGTATTAATATTGGTCTGCTCCTAATAGCAATACATGATTGTTAATTTCTAAATTGCCTAAAATTTTCTAAAAACTGACCCTAACTAGCAAATTCACAAGGAAAAATGAATAATTGCTAGCAAGCATAATATATGAAATGTTAAATGAAATTTTAGAGTAATCCATAGTTAATATTGCAAGTTGAAAGAGTGAGGAGGCACATGAGAGGAAGAAGAGAATGATCAGATTGCGAACTCATTTCCGGTTAACTGAAATACAACTTGATGCTAAGCTGGAAAACATATGATCCTCTATATAATGCTGAATATGTAACGCTTAGCAAGCCAAAGCACAGACTTTGGTAAAGGTGTTGGATTTTGAAAAGAGCAGTATTTAAAGCAGGAGTCCCCAATCTTTTGGACCACTAAATTCATAATTTTAAATCCCATGGACCACTAATAAGATATGCCTAATGACCAGCTGGGTGGGTGTGGTTAGGTGGTCATGTGACTGGGTGGGTGTGGCCAACTTGATGTCAATCACATCAAGGGACACCTCGCCAGCCTCTACTGGCCCCTCCCCTCCCAGCCACTTTTCGCCTGCAAAACAGGTGGTTCAGTTCAAACTGGATCTGACCGAGAAGGAGGCTCAGCAGAAGCACCTCACTGAGGACTACAAGTATAGGCTTTACAAGCAGAGGGAAGACCTGCGGGAGTGCAAGGCCAGGTATTGGAACCTGGAGGCTCAGCGGGCTGAGATGGACAGCCAGTTCCAGGCCATGATACAGTCCCACTGGAACAAGGCCTCTAGGCCTTTGCCACCAGCGGCACTTCCTTCCAGTCTTCGCCCAAAGCCTCGCACCAGGAGGCTGAAGCGGACCCCAAGTAAGAATTTTTGCCCCCCTCCGACCCGCACCAAAAGACTTCGAAGGGGGAGACTCTCTGCAGCAACACAAACATTCATTGCATATATCCTACCCAGGGGCCATAGTTTGAGGATCCCTGATTTAGGGCAATTAAAAATGCAAATATTTTTTCTGCAGACCATCAAAATTTTCTCGCAGACAACCAGTTAATGACCACTGATTTAAAGGGTCCATGGTTTAGTATTTTAATATTTTGTATGTTTATTTAGTGTGCCCTTATATCTAACCACAGTAGAAATCTTACTTTTTCTTACAACAAAAGCTCTGCAACATAAGTTGGGCTGAGAAAGTAGTTGGCCAAAGGTTACTCAGTGAGATTGCGTGAGGTTGAGGTTAGATGAGACACCTTATTCACTTTAACACCCAGGCTCTTGTTCATTTCTCATTTGTAGCTTAGAAAACCAGTGACATTGAGCCTAACTGCATACACAAGGACATTTTGAAAATTAATACTAGTATAGTTGCCCATCATACAATCAGAAAATTGCTATTATTTTCCCAAATACCCTGTCTTTACAAACAGTAGTTAGTATACTACATGTGTAATGCTGTAGCTTGGTAATGCCAAAGATGATCATCAGTCTTCCAGAAGTAGATGCATGAGATGCGTTAATTCCTTGCATGCTCTGTCTCCCTCTCTACCAGACCATATACAGATATTCCTCAATTAATGATTACTTGTTTAGTGACAGTTCAGTGTTACAGGACTGCTGAATAAAGAAACAGCACAGTATCTCTGCAGTTACATAATTGAAATTTGAGCATTTAGCAACTGGCTCTCAATTATGATGCCTATGACATCCTGCAGCCACATGATCGCCATTTGCAACCTTCATTGTCAGTTTCTAACAAGCAAAGACAGTGGGGAAGCCGGCAGGAAATCATAAATGGCAATCATGTGACATCATGCTTAATGACTGTGCAGAATTTCCTTAACAATGGTAACTGAAAGTGCCATTTGAATTGGCTGTGTTGTTTATTGACAGAGTTGCCCGTCTCAACATTGTTCACCGAGGACTACCTATATAAACATAGAAATAATATCCATTTGGGAATAATAGTGACATATTTTACTATGATATATATGATGAGAAAATGTGCACCGTTATGAAAATTGAATTAATGCATTGTACATCTGCAGTGATTGTAATATTACTAATATTTTCAACTTAAGCATAACTTGAGGAAGCATTTTTGTTTGTCGGTTTGCAGATGTTGAAGTTTCTGATGTTTTGCCTCCATCCCAAGCTGAAGAAAAACCAATGCCTTGTCAAGAGGAAGTATTTGCTGAATGTTCCCAGAAGAGGATTCTCGGACTACTAGCTGCAATGTTGCCACGCCTGAAATCAGTAAGGAACTATCCAAATTAGGAAAATCAGTAAAGGAGTTTAAGCGTCTGATAATTAAGGAAGTAAGAAAAGGGCAATCCCTCCAGAAGATCATATTAATCATATGAATCATTAGTGGTTCCATCAAAGATTTTAAGAGTAGGAAGGAGCTATCTAGGACATTCAATCCCTTCCTCAAATTGTTTGATATCCAGGAGACCTGTCATTGGTTCAGAAATGGAGGGAAAATCCTGAAAATTATCTGGAAAAACTGAACTTTTGAAGTATGTTAATTAAAGTATGTTGCATTATCCCTTCTGCTGATTTCCATATACTTTCCTCTTTTCTCTTTGTAGGGCTTGACAATATCTCTAATTAACTTGGACCAGATCCTTCCTCTCATGTTTGATGTTGTGATCTCCAATGCTGGCCATTTAAATGAAACTTACCACTTAACTCTGGGGCTCCTGGGACAGTTGATTCGGAGATTGACTCCTGCAGAAGTGGATGCTGCTGTGAACAAGGTCCTCTCCACCAAGCATAGCCTTGTGGCTGCTGGTGATGGCTCCATCGTGCCAGAAGGCTGGAAAACAACCCATCTCCTCTTCAGTCTGGGAGCAGTTTGCCTGGACAGGTCAGTTTTCATGATGGATTCATCTTAAAGACTTTTAATATGTCCAGATGATGCTTTCTGTTATAAACCTGTCATGTAATGGCAGAATGTTAAAAATGTTTGCAAACATGGCTGTTGCTCAAAACAAAACACTCCTAAAAGGCAGTAAATACTGCCTTCAATAAAAAACAAAATTGAAGCTCACAAGAAATTAGTAAGAGCTGTGATGGTGCAGTGGTTAGAATGCAGTATTGCAGGCTAATTCTGCTGCCTGCTGGCTGCCTGCAATTTGGCTGTTCGATTCTCACCGACTCAAGGTTGACACAGCCTTCCATCCTTCCGAGGTCTGTAAAATGAGGACCCAAATTATTGGAGGCAAAACGCTGGCTCTGTAAACCACTTAGAGAATGATGTAAAGCAATGTGAAGCGGTATATAAGTCTCAGTGCTATTGCTATCAGTAGTACTAATGTAAATATTTTTAAGGGAAGAGAGAAATGGGAAATGCTAAAGATAATCCTGTATTATAGCTTATTTGAAAATAGAACTAAATTTTAAATTTTGCAAGATTTTCCTGCCTAGAGCAAAGACCTCAAACTTACTGCCTGAAGGCCACTTACTATCCCCCAAGTCATTTTCTGCAGCTCATTACAATCCCTGGGGGAAACAGTAAGTTCTGCAAGAAATGTCCCTCTTAGCTGGCAGGATCTACCCCAAGAGAAGGCAGCCCATTTCAATGGGAATTACAAGTGAAGCAAAACAGTCATTGATCACTTACAGTTTTTGAAGCAATGCTGATGCAAGGCAGGCACATGCAGGAGCACATGTGAAGATGAATAATTAATTCTAACTCTTGGTTTTTAGCCGTGTCGGATTGGACTGGGCGTGCACCATGGCAGACATTCTGCGAGCGCTGAACTCCTCCACTCAGTGGCATGATGTGATTGGTGCCTTCACTGACCACTGCATCAAGCAGCTTCCCTTTCAGTTGAAACATACCAACATTTTCACATTACTGGTCCTTGTTGGCTTTCCAGAGGTGAGCATATTAAGGCATGTGCTTTTCTAGGCCACTTTCTAAAACTGCAAGTAAAAATACAGCCAAGACATAGAGTTTAAACTTGATTGATTTCAGTTTAGAGAACTTCAGATGCAATAGACAAAAGTTATATCCAGGCATTCTTTCAGAATAACAAGATGAATCACATAAATTGATGGACTATAATTTGTGTCATGTATGTGTAATTATGTCAGTGTCATAAATAGATACAAATGATGTAAATATAGATTGTAATGGCTAACCCCTCCCTCAAATTGCCCAGTAAATCATAGTTTTACTTGTAGCTTGCTTGGCTAGAGAGCAGATCTAGCTTTAATCTACCATAACTGAATAAATGTCATCTGAATGTCTCTTTCCAATTCTACAGGTTCTATGCATGGGAACCAAATCAGTGTATATGGATAATGCAAATGAGGCCCACAGTGTGATCATTCTTAAGCATTTCACAGAGAAGAACAGGGCTGTGGTTGTGGATGTTAAAACCCGAAAGCGGAAAGCAGGTTCATGTCATTCATGTTTGGATATTTATTTACATCTTGTATGTAGATACTTAGCATGTCTGTGTGTGTGTGAGCTAAGTGGAAATATTACATGATCACAACTGTGCTTTCCTTTTCCCCTCTCACAATCTAGTGCTGGGATAGTTGGCAAATAGATGCTACCTATAATTATTAGTTTCATAAGTTCCAGATTTGTTTACCTCCTAGCCATTACTGCTTTGGAATGGTCATCCTAGTCCTGGGATAATTAACAAGAAAGTAATTAGTATTTGTAATTGACATTCATTAGAGAGGAAGAGATTACAAGAGAGTAAGGCAAGCACACATTGGGGACTATACCAGCTGTTTGTATAGCATGCTTGGTGCTGCCAGGGCCACTATGTCCATTGTGTGCTTTCTTACTCTCTTGAAATCCCTTCATCTCCAATCTCTCTGCTCTGCAAATGTGTGGGGAGTAAAACAAAATGATAATACGCACTGATCTGTAATGGTGATCATGTAACTGAAGGATGCTGTGAAGATTGTAAATGCGAACATTGGTTGTAAAATTATTTTTCAGCACCATTGTAAATTGAATGGTCACTGAACAAAACAGTCAGTAAGGAAGAGCTATCTGTATTGAAATAAAATATTAGAGGTGGCTGAATGCGCATCATATGACAAAATTATTTACTACAAGCCTATTCTTAATCTATGTTCTGACTACATCATCTTTCTGTGGATGTAAAAAAATCATAATTCTTTAAAGAATTTATTTTTGAGGTGGATCTGAAAACATTTTTTTAAGAGTTTGTATTTTTTTTCCACATTGCTTCGTGCTAAGCCAAGACCAGACTTAAGTAAAAAGAGCTGAACCCAGGACAGCTACCAACTGAAACCCTGTGTATTCATCTATTTCTGTTCTAGTAAAAGATCTCCAGCTGATTAAGCCATGTGAGCAAGATGATGCGGAGTCCCAGGGCCAGCTCCGCCAGTATCTCCAACATTTTGTGTTTATAACTAGCCATCTTCTCCAGACCAACATTGACAGTAGCTTTGCAGAGGCAGTGGAAGCAACATGGGTTTTATCTCTTGCTCTGAAGGGACTTTACAGAACACTTAAGGTACAAAAATGGACAAAGATTCCCAAAACATCTTATGACCCAGGATTATATAAATCATTGTGTGTGTGGGGGGGGGGTGTATAGAAAAAATATCACTGCTGATTTCTGATAAAGAAACATAGAATCACAGAACTGAAAGAAGCCATATTGTTGTTGTTCAGTTGCGAAATCGTGTCCAATTCTTCATGACCTCATGGACCACAGCAGGCCAGGCCCCTTGTCCTCCACTGTCTGCCAGTCTTCCTAAGCCCATGTCCACTGTGTCAATAATACTATGTAACCATCTCATTCTTTGCTGTCCCCTTCTCCCTTTTCCTTTTTTACCAGCATCAGGATCTTTTCAAATGAGACATCTCTTCTCGTTTGGCGGCCAAAGTATTTGAGCTTTAGCTTCAGAGTCTAAGAGGGCATTTAGGCTATCACATTCAATTCTCTGCATTATAATCCAGATTAAAGCGTAAAATAAAAATGACTGTTCAGGTTTGACTTTGAACCAACCATCTTAGGTTCTTTAAAATAACAGAAGAAAGAATAAGGTGCACTAAGAATGCAACTTAAGAATGTTGATAATTTTTATTATCAAAATGTTACAGTTAAGACAAAAGCCAGCATCCAAAAAACCCCTTCACTCTTCTAAAAAGTTATTTTCAATCTTTATAATTTAATACACAAGCATTGCAATCCAAGATTATGTTTTCTTGATCAGAAATACTATATACCACACTATTTTTCTTTGGGAAGGAGCAGTGGTCTATGTCTAATACTGTAAACTGTAGATGAAAATGTGATCTTGATATGTTCAGTGCCTTTCTCATATAAAAAATCCTTTAACAAAAAATCCTGAAAAAAATCAGTCCATATAGACCAGGAGTGTCAAACTTGCATTGTCATGTGACGTATTGTGACTTTTTCTCTCTTCGCTAAACTAGGCGTGGGCGTGGCCAGTGTGTGACACATCCGCTTGTTTGACAGCCATGGTATAGACCAATATGTCTCAACCTCAGCATTATTAAGATGTGTGAACTCAACAGTGTTAAGACATGTGAACTCCCCCAAATCCTCAGCATGCTGCCCGGGGAAATTCCAAGAGTTGAAGTTCACACATTTTAACCTAGCTGAGATTGAGAAAACCCTAAACTATCATTCTTAGTCAAAGTGTTAATGGTTACCATTTTTTTCCTGTGATCAACAGACACATGCTTTTGAAGAAATCCGCACAGCCTTTCTGCAATCTGGTTTACTTAAGCTATTGGTGAAGAAGTGTAGCAAAGGAACAGGCTTCAGTAAGACTTGGCTTCTGAGAGACTTGGAGGTAACACAACAATGCATTTAAGCAGCTGAGCAAGTTCTTCCCTATGTACTCATTTATTTGAATTATTCCGTACATCAGCAGTTCCTTTTCATTTTTGAGGTTTTGTGTTCTTCATAATTTCAATCATTCTAATTGTGCTTCAACTAAGGGATGTTAAATTGATGTGTTACTAACCTTTTTGCTCCATACTGGAGTGATGTACAGACAGCAAACCTAAACACAATGCAAATCGATGGAGGGAGGGGGCACTGGAGGTTTTGTGAGTCTGTTATGGGATTACATACAGCAAAACTTTGAGACAGCCTTTTTGAGAATTAAGAGTTCCACGGTACAATTCAATAAATGAACTTTCATTTTATCATTTACCGATATATTATTATTGATTATGTTCATGCTTTATTGATCAACTACTAAAATCTAAGAGTATGTGTCTGATGGTTGGGTTGGCAATATATAAATCATATAGCAGTGCTGTACCTGTTTCTTTAAATCAGTGTTTCTCAACCTTGGCAACTTGAAGATGTCTGGACTTCAACTCCCAGAATTCCCCAGCCAGCATTCGCTGGCTGGGGAATTCTGGGAGTTGAAGTCCAGACATCTTCAAGTTGCCAAGGTTGAGAAACACTGATTTAAATCATGCTGTAAAATGTGATTGGCTGCTGTTTTCCTCAATCAGCCATAAGAGGGAGCCAGAATGACTGTTAGCTCTCTGTTTGTTAGATGCTGGGCTGATCTGATCTGAGTGTTTTGGAAGCTGGCTGTTAGAAAGTGCCGTGAGCTATTATAAATTTTGCAACTGCTAGCAAACTTTGAGTACCAGACTGTTTGTATGATTATGGACTATGTTATTCGGATTATCCCTTAACTGAAAGACATTGATGACTGACTGTCTTATCCATGTATGACTTGGACTGTTTGATGGACTCTGATACCTCTATTTCTACGAAAGTGAAAGCCTATTTAAACTGCAGTGTCTCTGTATGCTGGTTTGTGTGTTCTCCAACACAACTCTCACAACGCTTCTCTGAATGCACTCGCTCTCCCAACGGGGAGCTTACCTTACTATGGCTAAAGGCTAAAGAGGAAGCAGCCTTACAGAAGAGAAGCAAATCTGGTCTGTAATTTGTCTTGTAACTTTAGTGGTTTTCTGATGGAATTTTGAGTTGTACCTTGTCTTTGTCCTTGTAGATCTTGTCGGTCATGCTTTATTCTTCAAAAAAGGAGTTAAACTCCATGGCTGAGCAGAAGGACTTAGAATTCAATGAGCGAGAGCATGAGCAAGCAGTAAATGAGTCTGTTGACACTTCCGACGCTGTGCAGAATAGGCTTGACCCACTGGAGGGCTTGGATGAAACCACCAAAATATGCTTCCTGGTACTGTTTTTTTTTAATGTGCAATGGGTGGGGCGAGGATAGTGCTTCAGTTGTTGTCAAAAGCACAGCCTGTAAGCTTGGGTTGCACTGTGCATGTTGTTTGAAGTTCTTTTAACATAACAAGGGATTGGTCCTCATCGAGGCAAAAGGCAGGCCTAACAATACAAGCAGAAATTTCAGATTAGTGTTTCAGGGGAGAAGGCTAACTAGGATAGAAGTCAAGGAGTGCAGCCATACAGGGTGTGTCCCTGAAGTTGTATTCCAATTCACCATCTCTGCTTCAATGTTCAACTTCAGTTTGTCCCAAAATCCAGATAAAAATTCATGTTAGCATGTTACAATGACAAAAATACAAGACTCAATTATGCCTGAATGATCAATAGATTTAAGTGTACTATCAGTTTCATGGACTCTAGCCAACTTCGAACAGATAACATGGTTAGCCTCCAAAGTGGACTCTAACCCATGTAAAACTTTTTCTTGAACAGATCTATCTTATCTATTTCAGCTAATACTAGGTTTTTAGTGTTTTTAATTCTTTGCTGTTTTCTGTGAAAGTAAATGTAATGAATTGACAGAAGTTGCATTGACACCCCGACCCTTTACAGCCAGATCCTATCTATCCAATCAGTATAATGACTGTATAGGGTGTAGGTAGTGTATTTGTGTTTTGTGGAAGCCTAACATAGTAATTCAGATTCATATGTTCACTCTACGATTGCAATACTTCCACAATGGTTTTTAGGGACATAGAAAAAAAAATTGATTTTTGGTGTTCAGTGGCAAGGAAGCATCTGGTAAAAAATATTTGCTGATGAAAAACAAAACAAAAAACAACCAAGCCAAAACCAAGAACCCAACAATTCAACCCAGAGCTACATTAGGAAGTATTTTTCCTCCTTCTCACCTAATTAGAGTTAAACCTATTTTCAGATGACACATGATGCTCTTGATGCACCTCTACACATTCTTCGAGCCATGTATGAATTGCACATGAAAAAGACAGATTCTTTCTTCCTAGAGGTTCAGAAGAGGTAAGAGAATTTCCAAACCTGACTCGGAATGAAAAGTTATGTATCCCTAGTGACCTAATCTATTAATCAAGAATACCTAAAAAGGAAACTAGCAGACGGCCAAGAATTTATTTTTTAACAATTGCAGATATTGTGCAGTGGGGCAGGGAAACTACCTGTATTTCTAAATGAGCTATTGATAATTTTGAGGAAAACAAGAGTACCATTTCAAAGGACAGCTTTCTTGTTGGCCAGGTTTTAGTGAGGAGAAGTATTTACTGTGCAAGAAACATTCCATCATGGTCTTGCTCATTTACAAACTGAAACAGCACAACCCCAGAGATAGGCAGACCATTTCTATAAGATACCTTTAAGCTATAATCTTTTGATAAAACAGCCATTTCCAAGCTGTTATCCTTTGATTCTTGCTATAAATCATGGTAGTTCATGCCCAGAACATTCACAAATTTTCTTGACATTAGAGGCAGAAGATAAATTACTTGCAATCAGTTACCTTGTCTTTGAAAATACATTTATATTGCAAATTAGAAGTGTAAGATAAAAGATAAATTGCATAGAACATGGACAAGGTACTTAGAAACAAAGAAAGCCACGTGGCCAGATAATTGCTAATATAAAGTAGCACTTGATGGGATGAAACACAGGGGTTTTAAATATAGAAATTGCTCAGCTCAAAGGTACTGTCTTTAAATTCTGACAGTAAAAATAATTTGTGTGCATTTCTTAAAGATTTGATGGAGAAGTACTTACCATGGATGAAAGGATTCGTACATTGGCTCAAAAATGGCAGCCCAGTAAGCATTTACGCACAGAAGAGCAGAATTCCAAAGCTCTGGATACAGATATGATCATTGTGCCATGTTTGGTGAGTGTACTGTTTTATGCAAAGCATTTTTTAAACTTTGTTCCGTTTATGCAGTAATATCTACCGATACTTCCATCAAATGTGATCATTAACTATATTACCTGGAACTGATTAGAATTGTAGTGTGAGCATCTCGAAGGACACACACATTGAAAAATGCTTGTTGATTGCAATGTACACTGAACTAATATTTCTATTTGTCAATCATTCATTGGCATTGTGAGATTTTGGGGGAAGCAGAAATTTAATACATCTAGAGCCGTGATGGCAAACCTATGGCACACGTGCCTGAAGTGACATGTGGAGCCATGTCGCCTGGCACGCGTGGCGTTGCCTGTTCCTCTCCCGGGTTTCTGGCATGCGTGACAATCAGCTGGCCTTTGTGCGTGCGGCAGTGTCGGAAACTGGAGGATCTGGTCTTCTGTTTTCCGGCACAAGCATCTGCGCCAGCCAGCTGATCATCAGACGCACATATGTGCCAGTAACTGGAAGACTAGCTGGCCAGCATGTATGTACGCGCCGGAAACTGTAAGTTCATTGTCCAGCATGCACGTGCCCCCTGGGCAGTTCCTCTTGCGGATTGTGCACCCGACGAGCATGCAAAGCACATGCGCACGCTCTCCCTTTTAGGCACTTGGTGGCTAAAAGGTTTGCCTTCACTGATCTAGAGGATATTAAACTAGAAACACACAACAAGAAATGTGACATATCTGCAGTATCAATCCTTACATTCAGAATGTACTGTAGCATGTTAATGCATTTTTAAACACTAGTGTCCATTTTGCAGAGCTTTACAACATACTGTCTTCAACATACGTCCTGTCATTTAGGTGTAGATGATTAGCTGATTCAGTATAGTATACCATTCAGGATTTTAGATGTGGACAAGCAAAACTTGAATTCCATTCTCCACTTAATCATAAACACCCATTACAGTTTCTATTACTGACTGTTATTTTTTTAAAAATCACACAGTACATGGGCAGCATCCAAAAGCAGGGTAGGTTTGGAAATGAGACAATTTCACATCTACTGAGACTCCTTGTATGTTACAGTCCAAGCCTGCTCCGTGCAGCAAAGCCACTGAAGAATCCAACCCAGTGACCCAGAAACTCATCACCAACACAGAAAGTGACCTCCAGCTCAGCTACGCCAAGCAACAACGCACCAAAAGTTCTGTCCTCCTGCATAAGGAGTTGGACTCCAGAAGCAAGAAAACTGTGCGGGGTTATCTCTACCGAGTCAATGAAGCTACTGCTGTCCTCTACGCCAGGCATGTCCTCGCTTTGTTGTTGGCTGAGTGGCCTGATGATGTAGCAATAAGCGAGGAGATGTTAGATCTCAGTGGCCCAGCACACATGACATATATCCTGGACATGCTGTTGCAGCTAGAGGAAAAACAGCTGTGTGAAAAGGTAACTTGTTTTATCCCTCTGATTTGGGAATGAACTGAGAAAAGTAGCTTGACACTAGCGGACAAATCAGCCCCAAGCAACAAATGCTACTCACTGGTTTAGTTTGGGACAATTTTCTTTTTAATATGCTAGAAGACAGTATTTTAGTCTTCTATTCAAGTTGGATTTTAAAAGGAAAAAAAAAAAGAAACGGAATATTCCATTTTTTCTCGTTTTGTTTTTCTCCCCTTTCCTTGTTACCTGACACCTCTCAGTTGCAATCAGATTGTATGACATTCATGACAGAACAGATCAGATGTAGGATGTCTGTAAGAAATTGTAAAGCGCTTACTTGGCATGTAGAAGATCATAGTTCCCTCTCAAATAAAGTGATCCTGGAATGCCTGAGTATTGGAATAGCTGCTAGTCACCTGTAAATGGAATTGGGCTAGGTGGACAATAGCTGCCTTATTTTCTCCGGGAGAAAATATCCTTCCTGTTTTGAGCATAACTGATGTTACTGGAGCAGTCCATTAATACTAACAAAGAAAATTCCTTGAGATGATCAGAATTTTGGCCTGTAGAAAAGTAGTTGCAAGATGTTCTTATTCATGTATTCTAAATTTTGGCTTCCAATTAGAAACAATCTCCTTCCTCCTAGGTTTCTTCTTTAAACTGGAAAAAAAGGTTTGAAATTGCTTTCTAATATTGTTAAGAATGATCTCTAATTAAACTTATTCATACTTAAATCTATGAATCCATTCCAAAGGAGAAATAGTGTATATCAAGCATACCTCCATTAGTAATCTAAGAGTAAGTTCTTTTCTCACTTTTAGACCTCGCGGTCTTGGGCAAAAGCAGAGAAGGGCCAGCCAGTGTCTCTCTGTTTCTTCTCTTACTTTACTTTTCCTGTTTCATCACTCATCACACCCACCTTTTTTTTTACTGATATCAAACTTAACTTTAACCAGCATTTAGTTTGTGAATCACTTTTATGTGGTCCTTCCCCCACCTTGATCTTTCCTACAGATTCTACTGAAAGTGCTCCGTGGCTGCAGTGGAACCATGCTAGCAAAGATGGCACTTACAGCCTGTCAGTTCATGGAGGAGCCTGGGATGGCGGTCCAAGTGCGAGAGTCCAAGCATCCTTACAACAATAATACAAACTTTGAGGTACTATGCTTAGTAGTCTTGGCGCCAGGTGAGCAAAATGTCAGTCATGCTTGCATAGGCAGTTGCCAGTTCCAAATGAAAAAGACCATCCAGCTCGTATTGTTCCATTTTATCAAAAAGGTGGCTATGCAGGGGTGGGATTCGACCAGTTCAACTATCAATTGGGAGCAAACCGGTTCGCTCCAACTAGCAGCTGGGCCTGCCCACCTGCCCCTGTGCTATACTCACCTATATTCCCTTTTCTGAAGCCCAGCTGATAGGCACAGCAGAGTGGATTGCCGCGCCTTAGCTGTTTTCCGCCCCAGCAGTAATGTGGAAGGTGATTTCTCTGAGGCGCATGCACTCAGCGAACCGGTTATTAAACCAGTAGGATCCCACCCCTGTGGCTATGGTCAACCCAATTAAATGCCTTACTGTAGATTAGGTACAAGGCTACCAAAGAAGAAATGGCAGGCTGAAGACAGTTCCGCAAAAAGCGAAGCTGATGACTGAAGTGAAATGAAGAGCTGGTGAATAGACTCGCTCTTTGATAATTCATCTCCAGGCAAGGAGAAGACATGAGATCATTCACTAGTGCTACAGACTGTTGTTCCTCATGGGGAGACTGAGAAAGCAGTCTCTGGCAGTTCTAAAGCTCTGGGAGATGAGGGAATGGCCACTTTGCTCAAACTGTGATTGGCATCTTTGTTTTCAGCTATTAGAAACTTTTGGATTGACAAATTTTTACAGCACCAGATGGGTTTTCCCTTAATCCTTAGTGAAAGAAGTTTTAAATACACATTTAGGGGTTTTTAAAAATTGATTGGGATAAACAACAAAAGGATGATTAAATTTTTGAAAGTTGCAAATGAGTTAAGATATTTCAATCTTGTCTTGAAATAAGATTTTGATATTGATTGTAAGGAGTCCTTCAAATTAGAATTTTTTAAAACATTCTTAAAAACATCTATAATAAAATAAGATTTTAAAAGTTAGACTAGAAGGAAGTAAAAATTATAATTAAAGGAGAAAAACCATTTACCGTATTTTCACCCATATAACCCGCCCACGCAAATAACCCGCCCACGCAA